TGGGAAGTCGGTGACGGAAATTTTTTGCAGACTGAGAGCACTTATGACGCAATACATGGAGTGCGACGACAGTAGAAGTTTTTAGCGCGGTCATACCCGGTGAAATTGTTGTCACAAAAGCTGAGAATCCTCGGCCACACCTACCCTTAGGAGCTAGTTAATTTATCGTTGTTACATGACCATGTCTTATCGTGAATTTATCTGACTGTTTTACTAAGCTATGATTAGTGAAACAAAACAAATTCCGCTTTGGCAAATGAAGAGATCACTCAATGACGTCAGTGTGTGGTTGGAACCTAAAGTAACCAACAATGCCTCAAGTTATTACGGACAGAACACACTACAGAGCGATGATTTGTCCCATGTCAGAGAGGTAGTTTCTACTGCTCTAAGTCACCAAGAACGATGTTCGTCTTGGTTTCTTCGTTTCTTTTGCTCATAAAGAGCTCTTGTCAGTATCGACTTTGTTTGTTCAGATCGGAAATGATCTCTCAAACTCTTCAAAAACATAAGGGACAAAGTTCGTCATGTAGAACCGAACAAGGAATATTATTATTTTGTCACGTCAGCTGCGTGTATGCACTCTTATACAGCATTGGTGATGCCCAATCACAGGCTACCCAGTATTCAGTTCATTCTAGTTGTAGAAGGTGGTTCTTAAACTATGAGCTGAAAAAAAAATTAATGGCTGCCGGCGACGATGCTATTTTCAGCCTATTTCTATTAAGTTTTGTCCGTACTCTTTCGTTAGGAAACACAAACAATATCAACTTGGCAGCATGACACTGCCTCACTTAACAAAACTGAAGGAATATCAACGTCATATGACTAATATATAAATAACAATCTAGCCAATTATTTAAGGCAAACAAACGAATGAACATGGCGCGCCAGGCGTCACTGCACTGACTCATTTTCCATTGACGCATTTCGCACTGACGGAATGAAATTACCATGCCTGGCAGGAAGCGGTATTTTTGCGGGCGTAAAAGGCAGTCAAGTGCAAATTGACAACAAATCGCAGTAATTTTAAATGTTAACAGTCCAAACCATGTCTAGGAGGAATCAAAGATCGACTGAGTCCTCTAGTGCACCCTTAATGTCAAGAGAAACAAGGTTTTGGCCATGATTGCCATCAGTCTGACGTGGAATTGCGCTTAATAAGTTTTTTTTTTATTGCATAATTGAGTCGTAATCGCGTATGAAGTCATTCTTTTAGGCTGATTTGAAGTTACCTCAATTATCATTTCGTTTCATAACAAAAAAATTGATGAAGACGTGTTTCTGCGGAATCGATAAATTTGTATATCTTAATTTTTTTCTTCTGTTTTCCGTGAGTCCAAAGCTTTAACCCCTTCTTTTGGGCTATGCAAAGTTTGTTCGATTTGCCCACCAGCTTAGCTTTGATTGATAACAGCTGAAATAAGCGAACCCGATGACGGCTGAAATTATTCGATTGTTGTCATTAAAATTTTGCGCTACTTGTGCTGACGGAGGATTTATTGTCTTTCAAAGTGAAACTTTGTAGAGTCAACACCCGACGTAGTGAAACTTCATATTGGCGAATCCGCCCACAGACTGAAAATTCAGTCCATTTGAATAATTGAATTAATCCAATTAAACATTTAAAAAACAACGAATAAAATGAAAATCTACAGGGTTGTACCACCAGTCCTATTACAGCGATGATAGGATCCTTTCGCCAGCGGGTTTAATTTATATGGCAGCAAAATCTCACCGAAAAATTGTACACTTACTCGCCTAATTTTTCTCCGGTTTCTCCTTCATAACGGTACTTGTCGGCAAATTCAGTTGATGGTTCATCATCATCATCAAAATGCGCCGCAACTTCTAAGCGAAGAGAGTGATTCGTGTAGCGGAGATCAAATTGTTGAGAACTTTCCAGTGCTAATGTAAAATCATCTCCGCTGTGGCCCATGTCGAAGGATCTAACTGACGAGAGGGCGGGTAGTTAGTCTATGATGAATGAAGAAGTCAAATGTGAGGTCCATGAACAACAAACAATTACTTGATAATGGAAATTTATACAGGGGAGAACAATGACTCAGGCTAATCATCTCTAGTGATGCGGGAAGATGTATCTTTTTCTATGTTGAACGAGGAAATCAGAAAGAACGAGTAACCAGGCAAAATAAGCATTTGGACGGAACATATTAGAATTAAAGATATTTGAATGAATCTAACATCCCGTCAAGCATAGGGATCTTTTGAGGACCAGAGTTAACTCATCCCGTACCTTCAATGAAATTGTATATTCAGCACCTGGGTGAGAATTTTACTGATATCACCACAGGCGGCCCAAGCTCACGTCTCGAGAAAAAGCCAACGATTAATTCATGAAAGCGTCACGCGTTGTGTGACTCGGTGTTCAGTTACGAGAAGAACCTTTGAAAATTTGAAGACGTTATAAGGAATAGTATAGGGAACGTAATATGGTTGATTTACAACAATAAACATTTCGAAATATGAACATTGAAAATCAATAAAACTTACTCACATCTTGTGTTTCCGTCGTAGTTTCCGGCGATTTCTGCCGTTTCAAGCTTGCTTTTCCATCACTGTTATTACTGTCTTTCCTCTGTCTTCGTCTTTTCACAGAACGCGTGACGCTTTCGTAAATTAATCGCTGACTTTTTCTCGAGACGTGAGCTTGGACCGCCTGTGATATCACTAAACAAATTACAGTCTAATACTCAAGTGTCGCTTTAGATCATGAAAAAATCTCTTTTTCCCAGTTAGGCTGTTGTATGAGCCAAGTAAAAATCAAGCGAAAAAATATTTTCTTGGCGCAAGATACCTGTGTTTAGAGTTTGCGCTGATAATATTGGTAATCCTTGACTTCCACGCTTTATTTGCGGTCGTCAAGAGGGAGTTACGCATCAATAACAACGCCACTTAACAAGTTAATGAGCCGAAAAGAAAAACACGCGAAAACGTCTGAACCAAGTGATCGAAGGATCGAGAGTGAGGTACTTTGAATAAGGATGTTGGAAAACTGATACAAAGATTCTCTCGTGCACATTTTAAATGCTTGATCATGCTAAGAAAAAAATGAGACCTCTAAACAATACAATGAGTTCCAGCTGTTTGAGTCGCTGAAAACTAACCCTCTTAGTCAATAGAAGTTATAACTGCTAAAATTGCCTGATTTCATAGCGCGCGGGAGACTGGCACTACCGGATTTTTGCGGACTTTGTACTTGTACTATATTCCAGATTCAAAATGGCTGCAAGCAATCCAAAAACTCATCTAAAATGTGAATCAAAATTGTCTACCAAATTTTATTAGAGGCAAGCAACAGGAACAAAATGCAATACAACAATTTCAAAATGACAGTAAAATGGGTGTCTCTCAGTGTGGGTACTTCAAACATCCTTCTGATAGCAGATTTGGAGCCAGTCCTGATGGAGTGAGCACTGGGTGGCAGCAGTTTTTGGTTGAAATAAAAACCCAATCCCTTCCCAATAACACCCAGCTAGAAAAACTAAACAAAGATGAAAAAAACAAGAAAATGGAGATTGCATTGAAACCATTGCCACATGTAAGACGA